TACAGGTTGCTTAGCAGCCGTGCCAGGCCCAGCAGTCCCCGTCAACATCAGTCGCTTGCGGGCGCGCTTCTTCGAAGTGCCCGGGGGACTCGCGACCGATCCGTCATCTACACCAGGCGGCCGCTGAAGCGCGGAGGGGGACACTAGCTTGTCGGATGTTTCTCTTACGGTGGGTCGGGGCAGAGACGCTGTGGATGTGGATGTGAATGTGGATGTGAATGTGGATGTGGATGTGGATAGGATGTGCGACGCGCGACGCCGAGATTGAGGATTTGTTACTGGCACGGAAACAGAGCGACTGGTATGCCGTGGTTGATTGATTCATGGCGACGCGGGCTGAGTGAGGGCAGAAGACGCGATAGCAGCCGAAGATTACGGCGAGATGTTCAGCAAGATGCGACGAAACACCGGCGACGGAGAGATGACCGAGCACACGAGAATTGGTCACATCACAGTCATGGCCGAAGTGAAGTACAAGCAAGATAGGGCGCGAGTAAGAGAGCGAGCGAGCGAGAGCGGGAAAGAGACGATGGAAGACGACAACCACAGGCCTGGGACCGACCGTTACCACTACCACTACCACTACCACTACCACTACCACTACCACTACCGCAACCGCAACCGCAACCCCGACAGCCTCAATCACGGGCGCCTTCGCCATAGGAATGTGCCAACCAAGCCTGAGGGTACTGGTAGACTGATGACATGCCGTGTGGTGGAATCCGTGACATCAAATTACGCCATTGGCACGCGTTGTTAAGACCATCCGTCAATGTGTCACGCCCACGTCCGCACCCACTCCGACGCCCGACAGCGCTGGGCGAGAAAGAGGGCGAGACTGAGAACGGTGCTGCCACTGGAGCATTGCGGATGGGATGGGGATGGGACGGAGGAGAGGAGAATTTGTAGACAGCGGACAAGTGTGCCGTTGTTGATTGGACGAGCGGGCATTAAACGGAGAAGACGAGCATGAGCCAAGGGAGGGGGGCCGGCAGCCGGCACCAGGGCAGCAGGCTACACTTACCTTCCTTACCATCACGATGACGGTTGCTGATGTGTTGCTCTACACTAGTGAGACGGATGTTTGACAACGGCGTGAAGAAAACGATGGAGAGGCTCAGACTTGATGCATGCATTGAGCCAAGCGACGATAGTTATCCGTACGCAGCAGAAAGAAAGGAAGAGAAGTTGGACGTTGCCGCATCCAGCCTGAGACCGGATGGACTCGTCCAGACGGGACGGGGACGGCAAGGCCGTACTAGGTACCCGACGTCTCTGATGTATCGCGCGTCGTGGGCGCTGTCTCGTGGCGGACAGCATAAAATAAGGCGCGGCACAATCTCCGTACCAAACGGGGCGTTGGGAGTTCCCTTCTTTTTGGCTTTATTTTTTCATTTTCTTGGGAGACGGGGGACAGCAAGAAACCCCAAGCCAGACCAGACCACGACCACGACCTAGACCACCACGACCCAAGGACCCGCCACCATGCTTCATCCTAGGTAGGTAGGTACCTACGGATACCTCTCACCTCCTGAACAACCCTGACCCTGGTCCCTCCAGGTGTGAGGTCGGGCCCTCCCTGCCTTGCGTTCTTACCATCCTTCTTCGAAAGTTCCACAGCTTCCATTTTCCATCTCTGTTTTTTCTACCGACTTTCCCTATTCGGGCCCGATCAGCAGACACCAAAGCGCTATTGGATCACTCGGCCCCGCTTTCGAAGCCTTCTAGCGCGCTCTAGTCCTTGCTCCACTCACACCTTTCTCACGCCTTTCTTCTTCTTCTTTTTTCCTTCACGTCCTTCCAGTCACCACTGACCAGTGTCACTCTCAGAATGGCCCCACCAACTTCCGGTTGTGTTGCCAACTTGCCAGTGGCCACTCGCACTTTGGCGCTATCCGTACATTCCATTCCGCGTTGCCTTCCTGCGACGGTCCAGTGCGATTTGTCCCAGCTTCCATCCACCTTCCATCCACCTTCCATTGTGCCTTCCTTTCCACTTATATTATGCTCTCGTGTTGTGCCACATCAATTGTGAATGGTCCCGTCGTCTGCCACGACGGTTTTGAATTTGCCCAGCCAGGGCCCCATCGCAACCGCGTACCTACATAGCACCTACCCTAGGCGCCCCCGGTTGCCAAAAGGGGGTCCAAAGGGGTTCAAGCCCCTTGACTTACTTCCCTCATGGCGATGCGACCACATGGGAGATGGAGGACGGGGTGAGAGGATGGGAAAGACCAGGCCAGCGTGCTCGGCTTCCTCAGCAGACCGAATAACCCGCCTGGGGCCTAGAATTGCTACGGCGGAAGGTGCCTATTCGTAGGTCCTACCTAACGTAGGTACCTAGATCACTCCCGTCATCGCCTCAACGTCCAGTCCAGGTGCGCGCCCGGCGGCCGGCGACACTGACCGATGTGAAGACTGTCCCCGTCTCTGTGCCACTATGTCGTCGCAAGAGCAACGCGTCCTGCCGCTCGTTAGTCACGGCGTGCCTCCACCGATATCCCACTGGTCTCCGCCTCGGGTGTCTGTTTGTATATTTATGGTGTTTGTCGGGCAGCTGCTAGTCAGTCCATCATCGAGAGGAAGGGATCTCTCAAGCCCATCCCAACTCACTCTGGAGGGCCAAGTGCCGTACCGTGCAAATGTGCCCCTCGCTCCTTCAACCCAGGCGCCTTTCTACATAGGTAGTAGACTCCCGTCTGCCTCGTCTCGTCTTCTTTGCCTACCTATCTAATGAACCCTTGTCCACAGCCTGTAAGTACCCTATTTCCGCACAGGGTGGGCCAGCGCCGTGATGTAGTGGCTCGCTATCTGAGTGGATGCTTGCCAGCAATGAGGTATCGCCACAGCCAGCCAGCGCTGCTCCCGCTGCCTCTTTTGCGGCCTTGTCCCGTGTGCGGGTACATTCGCCCTGAACTTCCCATAGGCACTCAGACGGGGTGAATCCTCTTGGTTTTTTTTTTTTTTTTTTTCGGTACTCTACCTTAGGCGCTCCAGTATGTTTCTCTGTCCGCTTCTTCCAACTCCCCTCGAGCTCACTCTACGTTCCGCTCTCTCAATCCGGCGTTCAGGTCTCCTCTCTCCTCGCGGACCAGAGCGACTGGATGATTGACTGATTGATTTGGACCGAGAAAGCTGCCTGATGGTGCCGGCTTGGTAGTTGTCGATGGCATGGTCTGTTGCTGGTGGATGGGGAACGGGCATGGGTGGCAAGGAGAAGTAGGAGGCATCTGATTTGATGTCACTCCCCGGTCCAAGTCCCTTGGTGTTCGACCCTTGCCGTGACCACCTACCGCAGTACGCAGCACTGGCGGTACGTTCCCTCCCAAATGGGCAAGTGAGGTGAGGCGAGGCAAAAGGTTTTGGGTACGTACCTCCCCTGATATCCCTTGCCGACCTGCTCGCGCTAAAGCGGAGGTTCCTCAGGTACCTGCCCAGCTACGGTACCTCACGGGCCACACTCCCTGCCTGGTGGCCCCCTCAATGTCCATACCTACGCCTACCATTCCTTGCCTTACGGTACGGTACGGCCGTCGCCGCCAGCAAGTACGGATACCTGGATGAGGTGCCTCCCTCCACCTGAGCGACACAACTTACGGGAACCGACTGCTTTTAGCTTCCTTATGTTCCTCTCTCTCTCGGTCTCTCTCTTCTCCCACCACGACCCATCCACATCATTCCTGCCGTTAATGCTTCACCATCCCCCTACTTGTCAATCAATAATTCGGACCCGCTCGACATTACGCTGTTACCATTCCTTCTTCTTCTTCTTCCTCTCTCTCCCAATCTATCGCTAGATCCCATCTTCGACATCACCCGTCCCGCCTGATTGACGCTATTGGAGAAACCACATTCCGCATCCGCCGAACGCCATCGTCCTCGCCGCCACCACTGTCTGGCTCAAACCTCAAGTCTCGGTCACTCGTTCGCTGTTGCATAACCACACCCATCTTGTTCTCCCTGTCCTAGTACTTCGATACCAGGCGCCTTTTCTTGTCTCGTACAGTATCGACGAATTCGACCGCCCAACGCGTCCCCCTCCTGCTCCGATCAGCATCCACCACGCCCCCGAACAGCCCAGCCTTTAGGACGTCACATCGCCATACTGCAAGCCACGAACTACTCGGGACCCGTTTCCTACCGCGATCGGTACTCATCCGCAAAGTCTGTTGGTCCGCAGTCGAACGTGTGGCTTGGTCGCATTCCGCATAGATCTCCTCGAGCATTCTGCCAGCCGGCTACCTTCGCAGTTGGCGCATTCTTGCCGTCCAACTACTGCACCACTTTCTGCAAGCAGCATTGCGCTCACCTATTGACGATTGCAACGAGTCAATTCCATTCCCGTCACCAAGACACTTCTAGCGTCTCCAGCTCTGCCTTAGTGCAAGCCTCTTTGCAAAGCCCACCCCAAGGAAATCGTTCTTATCTGCAACGCTCCCTGGGCTATTTACCTCGCGTGGGCCCCGTCTGTTCCAGCACGTCGCCGGTTCTCCCGCCCACAGTCGTCTCTCCCCTCTGGTTAGACGCCTTGACATAGCCACTTCACCACAACGCTCAATCATACGATCAACACTCTCAACACCTACTAGCGACGAAGAAGAAGTTCGGTAGTGTCTTCGCCTACAAGAATTTTGGTATAGGACGGCAGCATTTGGACGACGGAAAATCGACCTTGGATGAGTTTCTGGCGTTGAACAACACCATCCTATTGGCAAACTATCCGCACATTTCCAGTACTCGTCGACCGGGTCAACGGCCTTCTATGGGGTTCTTGATGCAGGTCTAGGCAAGCCAGGCTACCCCGTCTTCCAGGTCATCTACCCTTCCTCGGAGTGGGACAATTGGCAGTCTTCATTCCTGAATAACACCTTTGCGTGGAAATGAAAAGGTCCAGGATACGGAGACACTCCCCCATCTACCTGAGTCCATCTCCATCTCCCGAGAGGGAGCTGTCACCACCCAGTCCAGCCTCAACTACGGGCTGGGAAAGCAACATAGTCATGTCGAGATCCAGGCCCACCAGCGGGTCCTTGATGCCCGGCGCTGTCATTGTCACCCCACCTTCACTTTCCGAAATTCTTGCCAACACGTCTTCTCCTCCGTGGACCTTAGCCGCTTTCATGGCCTACCTTTCTCAGAACCATTGCTTGGAAACGCTAGAGTTTACTATGGATGCGGAGCGATACCGAAAGGATTACGACAAGTTCATCACCAACGAGGATTGGGCCGGGGAGGGTGGAAACGACCATGTCTGTCAACTATGGGAGAAACTGATGCAAGCCTACATCATCCCTTACTCTCCCCGGGAAGTCAATCTCCCCTCTCCCGTGCGAGATCGTCTCATTGCCCAGACCTGCTCGACGACCCCTCCATCGCCATCCGAGCTCGATGAGGCTGTGAGGATTGTGTACGAGTTGATGAATGATTCCGTTCTCCTTCCATTCATCGAATCAGCATTGCCGAATCACAGCGATGTGCGCATGGACGAAGACCCGATTGATACTCGCCAGGGCCGCTCGCGCGCTCGTGGAGCAGATGAAGTAGGAGCCAGGTTAGAAGAACCCAGGCGATCTCCTAAGTTTCTTCCTAAGCTGACTGTTGGGCGCAGCGGAGCTACCAGCCGATCCGCTTCGGCATCGGGTGAGCACACAGAGCGTGAAGGATTGACAGACGACAGCGGAAGTGCTGTTTCCCCTGGTACCGAACCCATGACGCCTCCCACCACGCCACCAACTTCAGATTGGACGTTCAGCAGCACATCACCCGGTGGTGGCTTTCAGCGAGCACTGACGGCTCATAACAACGGCTGGAAAAAGGTTGGCGCGAAGCTGGGATTGCACCGCAAGTCACGCTCAAACCGCCGAAATAACCCTACGTCGTCCGCTCCTCTGGACGGAGATATCAACATGGCTGAAACCAGCCAGAGCAACACCTTATAGGAATCAGAGGTCATGCTACCATCTACATCCACCACTCCCGCAACATCCACTTCTCACCTCCCTTTGGACAGTCTCTCCCGCGTCCGTCATCTCTTCAACCCTTGGGAGGAGCCTCATCCTGGCAAACGGCTGCCTCTTGCCGGGGCTAATCAGGAGACTGAGAAGGTTGCCAACGCTGGTTCATACCACTTGAATGGTGGACGTAGAGGTGGCATGGCCGCGAAAGAACTTACTCCGTACAACCCCAATCGTCCGTGGCTGGTGCGACGCCCAATCCGTGTCCGAGCTCGAACCAATACGCCGGTTCCACTCAAAATTACCACCGAGATATCCGAAGATCACGATGCGAAATCCGCACCGAGACCGGCGGTTCGCGACATCCACGTTCACTCTACAATGGAAACAACAGCTACTGTCAACGATGAGTGTGAATCGGGAACCGAGAAGACAGATGCCCACATTGTGAATGTTTCCGGCAAAGCAGGCATGAAACCGAGCGACCTGCCGCTGCCTGCTTCTCCACCAATCGACTGTCAATTCACCGACTTCTCCAACCTCCTTGGGATCAATGTTCATTCCGAAGAGAATATCGCTGTAGACAATGCGGAGCCCGGAACATACTGCCATGTTGCCCCGGATGAGGATCTTTACGGATGGGACGCTGAACTCGACCGGCAGAGTAAGCAAAGCAGTCCCCCTTTGCCCTGCCAGTACGATCACGAATACCAATACCGACGAACGAGTTTGACAAAACGCAGCCTCTTGCACCGGGTTTTCAGCATGGGGCCTATACCCAAGGACATCGACATCGAGGTTCGTCGCGCAAGCAGCACCTCTAGTTAACGCGCCATCATTACATCGTTCGTGAGCGTCTCCGGCTTCCAGGCGATGCCTTGACAAAGTTGCCGCGAGGCCTCAACAACTCCTTTGTGCACATTTTATCGGCGTTCAGTTCTTTACCTTCGACATCTGTATTCAAATTTTGGTGGCAAAGAAAGATATCACGACTGCATTTTGGGAAACAAAAAGGGATCATAGACATGGGTTCGGACACATGGATGAGGAGTTATTGTGGCATTTAAAGGCCTGGCCTGGAAAATATCATGATGCATTGCGAGGAGCTGGTTGGAGCGGTTCATTTGATTTGATTTTTGCTTTATTACACCAGAAATGGTTGAGTAAAGAAGGCCCTTGTTTTTTTTTCCTGGGGTCAACGGTTCGCCAACTTCTCTCATATGCATTGGCACGCAACGGTCGCATGAGGCATATGACTTTCTTCTTCTTTCTGCCGCATTTTTTTTATTTTTTTTATATTAATGAGTAGTCAGGGCACGTTAACAGGCCATGCATTTAGGTTCTGTCAATGTATAAAACATGTCCGATCTAAGCTCTTACTTTTTTGACCCTACCATTGTGACTCTGTGACGCGGCAAGTATGGATGTTGACGAATGGCGTAAGTGTCATTAGGATCACTAGGCACGGCATATATTTGCCTCCTGAGGCATCGCACAGTGGCAGCCGACAATTGCATATCATTTTTTGGTATTTTCTGAGATAGTTGCGTCGTCTAACAAAGAGGCGAACAGATCCCCCAAGCCAGGCGCGAAAGAAGATCCGCAATCCCTTGTTTAGTGCGATTCAATCTTTGCGAGTGTTCTTATTGCCGTTTTGTTGAATTCTATCTTGAAATCTTGGAATTTCTCATGGGTTTAACACACCGCGGAGTAACCCTTCGACCGCAATACCTCTTACTCGTCGGCAGTGCCATCGTGCCTAGAATACATTTTGTACTCCAACGAGTTGGCAAAGTCAATCTTGCCCTGTTCGACTTGGGTCCTGGTGGCCGAAAGCATGGGCTTTGGCAGCCCCATAGACTCGAGGAAGGCGACCGCTAATGAGAATGAGCAGAGCACAGCAGCGGTGTGAAGGGAAGGCCGGTTTGAAATTAGTTTTACTCACTCTCTCTCCATTCAAGCTCCTGGCGCTGCCTATCCCACGCCAACTCCTCCGACATGATGTCAATGATCCGGGGCAGAGCTTCAAGAGAAGCTTGGGCATTGAGGAAGGCCAAGCGCATCCGTCGAGCCAGCACGTCCACAGCTGTTTGAGCGTACTCGTGTCTGGCTGCATATCTCACTTCTCCATCAACGAAAGGGTACAATTGAGAAATTCGCTCGCCTCGGGCAGGGAAGCGATTGTTGGTTGGTCGACACAGGGAAGCGACAGTCCATGCACGGTCACCGTAGCTCTCAGTAAGATGCTTTGCTACTTCGGTCTCGATGCCGAAATGCTGAATAATGTTGATGAACAACGTTTTGCTGAATCCATGTGCTCCAATAAGACGGACCTGATGGGATTTGCAGCTTCCATCGAGAATGGCGCCGTCATCGATGATATCAGTGCCACTCATTCGCGGAGGATCCCTCAAAGGCTTTGGTTGGAGGTTGAACTCGGCAATGGCAGCGTCGACACATTCTTCGGCCATTTGTCGATACGTGGTCCATTTCCCGCCCGCACATGTAAGCAGACCAGAGGCTGATATGTCAACGAGATGGTTTCGGACCAACGATTCCGTGTTTTTGGCCTTGGGGTCCTTGACAAGAGGGCGGATGCCGGACCAAGCAGCGAGAACGTCACCACGTCTGACCTTAATGTCGGGAGAGAGGTAATGGCTGATTTCTTTAAGGATCCACTCAATGGACTTTTCATCGGGCAACGGATTTTGTGAGATGGACGAGGGCTCATCGGTGGTTCCGGCGATTGTGTTGCCTTGCCACGGCAAAAAGAAAATGACACGGCCATCAGAGGTGGAGGGGTCGATGAGTCCCATATTGGAGGGACTGTAGTAGCCAGGAAGCTACGACAACGACTTAGTGGCCAAGAAGAGAGAGATGGAAGAGTCTAAGTGTACTTACAATAATATGAACTCCTGAAGCCGGGCTCACGATAGCTTTGCAGTCGGGCTGATCCATCATGCGAATCGAGTCTGTGAAGGGACCCGTGCAGTTGATGACGCATTTTGCTTTCACAGGCACATCTTGTGTCTTTTGGCCGTTTTTACTGGCCACAAGATCCCTGACAGTAGCACCACACAGTCTCCCACAGGCATCTTTCTGCAGACTAAGAACCTCCATGTGATTGACCACAGTAGCTCCGTACAGAGCCGCCGTCATGCCGATGGACACATTCATACGGGAGTCGTTATGAGCGCCGTCGTAGTAGACAAGGGCGCCGACAAGATCCGTTCGCTTCAGCATGGGAAAAGCCTCGAGAGCTTTGGATCGGGTAAGGAAGTAAGAACTCTCTATACCCTCACTCCCAGCCAGGAAGTCGTAGGCTTTTGTGCCGGCCCAATAGTACGGAGCCTTCCACCAGCGGTCGATGGGCAGCATGATAGGTAGCCACATGCTCAGATGCGGTGCGGTTTGCAAAAAGTATTTGCGCTCTTTGAGAGCTTCCATGACCAATTGAAGCTGGCTGTAATCCAACTGCCAGAAGGCCTTTTCCAAGTATCGTACACCGCCATGGACGAGTTTCGTGCTCTTGGATGAGGTGCCCGAGGAGAAGTCATCTCTTTCGACCAGAGCGACTTTTAACCCGCGAGTGGCCGCGTCGAGAGCGACTCCCGTGCCGGTGGCGCCGCCGCCAACGATCAAGATATCATATTCCCCATCTGGCAAAGCGGTGCGTTTCAATTCTCTGATCTGTTCATCTCGAGATTTGACTTTGGGGAAACGCGGAAGCTTGAAAGTACCGTCGGCACCGTAGATGGGAGGTGGAACAGCGGCAGCTTCAAAGCCAGGGATGTTCCGGGGCCGGTAGGTGTAGTAGATGATGGCACCACCGGCTGTCAGGACACCAGCAACTGGGGCGATTCGGCGCAGAAGCCCGGCGCCAGACCTGGGCATGGATGCCATGTCGCCGTCGTCTCGGTGGCGGAGGATGAGGAGATGGAAGCTATCGGGCGAGACTGAAGGCGGGCGAGTGCTTCTGCTTCGTATAGGTGAACTCCAGTGGAAGCGGAAACCAGAATGGAAGGCATTGATTGGTTTGCCTACCTTGTTAACTGGACTCTATTCTATTAAAGAGACTGTCAAGCGTCGAGCACGTGGACCTGAAAGCATATGGAAGGTGACGCGGACGGCTACAGGCTACATCAATACCGAGATTAGTAGAAGCGTTGATTGGAAATAGGTAATTCGGGGACGTGGAAGCTGCCTACCTTATCAAGGCACCAAGTGGTGAATTGCGGATTGAGGCTTGTTTAAATACATGCCCACATGTGCCTTGGCTTCCCAAGCACTGATCATCCACGCTCTGTTCACGTCCCGTAGCCTTGATACTGACCAGAGGCACGCGGACATGCACGCATGCCTCACTCACATTCCAGCTCCAGGTCTGGCTCAGGTCCCCTCAAGTTGTCTCATAAGAGCCTAATGCGGGAGAATTGACGTCAATGGAGGGTAGCGGTCCAACGAATATCAACCAATTAAAAGTGATGAAGCAGCCATGAGCGGGGCCATCCTGATCCGGATTGGAATGAATGCATGATGCAGATAACCTGGTTAAGTAAGGTATCCGGGTCTGGCTCATTCAATAGGTAGGGTATCTTGATTCACTACATACATGTGCTTTCGGTACTCGTTCATAACCAACACGCTTCCATCGTGAACCCGTCAACTTCTCTCAACACAGATCGTGAACAACTCGTCGACAAACGTGGGAATATCATTTGATCTCTCCGCTTCCACATTAGAGATCTGGACGCCGCCCCCGGCGTGGACTTTGGTTCTTATTTCGGCCACTGGCAACGTTCTCATCTCGATCGCGCCATCGCTATTAGAAGAGGCCTTGCCTCGTGCCTCTTCCATTGCTGGCGCCGCCGTTTCGCCTCCAACTCCGACTCCGATCCCGCCACTCGTCGTTGATGGGTTGTCGCTTGCCCTTCTACCAATCAGAGTTTGGGGCCTTCGGCTTGTCTTATCTGTGTCCTGAAGTTCCGCCTGGGCGACCTCTCCTGCCGAGTGCACCTCCACCCGGATTTCCTCGCTCACCATCTGCAATTTCTGTTAGTACGGGACACTCAACCATTCTCACGATGATATCTCAACTTACTATGCCGCCAAACGGCGAAGACTGAATTGCGGCTTCATGGGTTGGGTATGCCGGTGGCGCATCGAAGCTTCCGCCCCCTGGTGACAGGGCGTCGCTGCTGCGGCGTCCTGGCCACAGCTTAAGCGTCGAACTCGATCCATGCGAATTCGTTGCCGACGATGATCGATTCAGCACCGTAGGTATCGGGTTCCCTTCAGAGTCGACGGGGTATGACTGCCCAAGCCGTCCAAGCCTGCGCAGGGCGGACGGCAGACGAGACTGTCGCTTGCTCTGCACTGTAGGCCTGGGCTTTTCCAATGGGACGGACTGGATGACGGGTGCCATCTCGCGATGAACTGATTGGGTAAATGCAAGATGCCGAGACGCGTCGCGACCAACGAGCTGGTGGACTTTGAAGAAATTCAGCGGTACGAACTCGCATTTGCTACTGGATACGTTGACGTGGATTGGGATCACCAAGCGAAAGGTGACGAGGCTTGTTGGCTGAGACGCAGACCCCTCCACCTTGTTTCCTGGAAGATTGACCACAGTGCTTGTCAAAATCGCCTCGTTAAATATCGAGTCGTTCATCCACGTTCGAAACGCGTCGATACTGTCTGTCAGCTGTTGTGCGAAGAGAATCTCTCTGGCGCCCAGACTACTCAATGACGCCAACCGTCTGCTGACACCGAGCGGTGTTAAGCGGTTAACCTGGCGGAGCAAATCCACCTGCCACGGCTCGATACGA